AGGGTCTGAAAGTGTGGGGCAACAAAGCCAGAAAGGCGGCCCTCAAAGAGATGGACCAGTCTACACAGCAGAGTGTGTTTCATCCAGTCGACCCAAACAAATGCAGTGATTCTGAATTGAAAAAGGCACAAATGGCACTCATGTTTGTGAGTGATGAAAAGGGATGGCACGGTCACAGGCCCGTGCAGTTCTACAATGGGAAACCTACAAGGTGCGTACCATCCAGAAAAGAAAGAAAATGCCAGAGTCCAACGTCTCACTTGAGGGTTTGATGTTATCCATGTTGTGTCGATGCATCTGAAGATAGGGATGTGATGTCTCTGGATGCTTCCCAATGCGCTTCATCACAAAACCCCAATGCCCAGAGAGTCAAACAAGGTGAAGACAGGGTCCTCATGATCATTGAAGGAACCCTTGCGACTTACTTGTCGATATTGATTCTGACACATATGCCTCTTTCCTGACATACAAAAAGGACGACCAGTCCTCTATGTCGTTGTGAAAAGAGCCATCTACGGAATGTTTTGGCAGCTTGCTCTGGTACAAGATCTTCAGGGCGACCTGGGGGAATCGGATTCGTATCTACAACGCAGTATGATCCGTGTTGTTGCCAACAGGATGATTGAAGGATATTCAGCAGACAATACGCTTCCTTGTGGACGACCTGATGTCGGGCCACCGGATGAAACTGGAAAACAATTAGAACCCTGGAGTGGTTCATGACAATTAGTACGGTAGCCTATGGGCCGTGAAGGCAACCCGTGGTCCCAAGCATGACTACTTGGGGAATGAGGGTGGACTTTTCCGATCCAGGTAAGGTAGTCATTGACATGATTGACTATCTGAAGAAGATGATCTTGGAGTTCCCGTTGTTGTTTTGGGCTCGCTTCGACAAATGAAGAAGGTGCCCAGCGCGGCACCTGCCGAATTATTCAGTTCTGGTGATGGATCTGCTTTGGAGACAAGACCACAGAGAAATCTATACACCACACAACGCAGCCAAAGCTGTTGTTCGCGTGCAAGGAAAGCAAGACCAGATGTTCAGACACGACAATTGTTCTCTGCACACGTGTAGCGGAATCCCACAGTTGATGACAGGGGGAAATTGATCCAAGGATTGAAGTTTCTGGACCAAACAGTGGAGGCAAGTTGATACTCCACGTTGATGATATCCGTGTCATCACTTGGTGAGTGGATGCATCATTTGCCGGTCCATCCTGATTACCGACCCATACAGGAGGAGTCAAGTCCTTTGGAAGAGGAGCAGTGTTTTCTGTATCCGCGAAACAAAGCTCAACTCAAAAGCCAGCACTGAAGCGGAATGATTGGAGTTACGATGTTATGTCGCCCATTGTTGGGCCAAGTTGTTCCTTGACGAGCAGGGGATCGTTGTAAAGACAAATCCTTATGCAGGACAACAAAAGCTACGATCATTCTTGAAGAGAATGGCAAAGGCATTCGGGCAAAGACTCGGCTATCAACATTCTTTTCTTTTTATTCATGACCAAATTGGAAAAGGCAACCTCAGAGTTGTGTACATGCCCAAACTTGGAAATGCGTGGAGATTTTTTCACGAAGCCCCCTTCAGGGCAAGCTCTTTCACGAGCACAGGGCTTTCATCATGGGGCATCCACCCCTTGTTTGATTGCCTAATTTATCTTATTCGTTCCACGGTAGCCACTTAGGCGACCGTGCAGGAGTGTGTTGGAGGAAAACTCCTGACAGCCTCTTTACTATTGGACTCGTGTATTAATCATCTCAGTCCGTTCGCATGTAAATTGATCATGCAAGAACCAAGGGAGTTTTAGTCTAAAGTGTTGCGGGGTCCTTATATCAATTCAATCACAAGACATTGCTATGCACCACCAGAAAATCCACTTTTGCTTTTACAGCTTATATCCAAAACCAAATTACTCCCAATAAGCTGCAGTATTACTAGCAAATAACAAACAGTAGACGATGCAACAGACCACTCCACCAGGATCAACCTTTGTTTCCATTCTTTCCACTTCGGGTTGAGACCATTGTGGCATTTTTGGGCCGCCAAAAAATGGAGCAGCAGAATTCTGAATTCAGAGGTGACCTAAGCCAGCAAGGCCTGCTCGTGGTAGGATTTACTACGTGTCTCCCTGCTCTTCAAATTCTTTCTTGGAGAGCTAGATTTTTAGCTCTCAAAGTTCTTGAAGTTAGTTGGGTCGTTTGACAGCAACCAAGCACAACAACAACACACAACAAACCATGCCGCGACGTCAAACCACCAAGAATTCGAGGACTCCTCCTCCATTACCACCCGACATCCTTTAAGGATGAGCAGTTGGAAGTCCCATTGGACGAGATCCCACCAGATGCCGAAGAATCCTCGCTCAAGAGCAAAGCTAGAGCGCTTTTGATGCAAGATATTATCGACAATGTGATTCCGAGACAGCCCGACAAAGCAATGCCAAACCAGTGAGATCTTTACAAGCCGTCCCGAATATGCTCTTCATGGGTAAAAAAACTTCTCGACACGACTTTCAAGCCTTTGAAAGATTGTGAAGCGGCACCTCTCTAGAACCGATGATGACAAGGCTGCATTCAGCAATTTCCTCACAAACAATGTTGTGCACAAATTCTCTGCTCATGGTTACCCGGAATGGGATGGATCAGAAGCAAAAAAGAAATTGGAAGAAGACATCGAGCTTGGCTTACTCGAGACGCTAGAACCCGCGGAGCTTTGGTGCCTTCGAGATCAATACGATCCTTACCCCCTGAAAGTGTTTAGAGATCACATCTATTAGCTAGCCAAAATAAAGAAATATCTGCATACATTGGATATGAAAGGAAAGAAGCGCTTGAAACCAAAGATAAAGAAGAAGAACAAAGCCTCCTAGCTGTCGATAGATGGAGTACGGTCATAGTCGTCTTGTAATAGCTACTAGTAGTGTCATTGAAAATTGGCTTGAAGACTTAGGACAAGATGAAAGATTTAGAGACAGCAACCTTGTTCTATATGACAAGACCGGAAGAGCCAATCCGGCTTATAGGACAAGATTTGAAGACAAGATTGAGAATTAGGACAAAACCGTGTTTTCAATCTTGTCCTATTTCAAAATTAGACAAAATCGGAAGCACGACTGACAAGTTACCGCGATTTCCACAGCGTTCCAGTAGCTTAGAAGCAGATACCTCTAGTGCTTAGCTAGTGCTTAGCTTGCGCTTACCTAGCTAGAAGCAGATCCCCCCTAGCTAGAAGCAGATTCCCATAGCAAGCTAGAAGCAGATACCCCTAGCTAGCTAGAATCCTAGTTATATAGCGTTCGCTGGCTTTAGAGTTTTTCCTGGTAGAAGCAAATCCCCCTAGTAGGATGCATGTAAATAGCTTTAGCTGATTTTTAAAAGCACCATCCTAGCTAGGATACCTATTTAGTTTTGCTGACTTGTTTGTATTCTAACCCTACCCTTATACCTGCAGGGACCACCGTAGCAGGAAAAACAATTAAAGGGGTTGAGGGCTCTGGCAGCAAGACTGCCATCATTCACTCATTCTTCACACAATTGTTAGACGATCACTTGATTGCAGCCCAGCCCAGTACCGGTACCGGTACTGGTATGGGTAGAGATGCAGCATTGGTTCACGATGGAGGTTGCTTGCTCAAGAGGACGGAGCCACAACGGCAAGGTGAGGAGTCGAACGTACCGGTACTACCAGTACACATCGTTTACGCTGTGTCGATCGAATGATCACATTAGTACAGGACAGGCTGGCAGGTACCAGTACACCAGCAATGCATACACCGCTGGATCCGAGGCGAGAATCCCCTTCGTTGCTGCTCTGCAGGAGGCACCAGGTCGTCGGCAATTGGCATTGGAAAGCATGATGTTATGGCTCAATTAATTCAGTGGGGCGTGTTGGCAATGATGCCCTTGGTGTTTCTCATTCCTGTCACAGTCCTACTGAACAAAATTGGCAAGTCGTCACTGGATGGGCATTCCTCCCTAACATGGACTGCCTGGTGTTACTCTGGAACACTTTTGGCTCTTTACCGAATCGTTGGCCTCTTGTTCTTCTCCAACATCACAATTGCCACCATCCGAACAGTCCCAGCACACCACAGGGCGACCATGAATGGCTTTGCCACACTTGGTGGCAGTGCCACAAAGGCGGCGGCGGGTCCATTCCTTTCTGGTTGTCTTTTGCCTTTTCGGACTCATCCAGTTTTAGTCCAGCTGGGGTCAGTGCTGTGTTGCCCTTTGTGGCACTTGGGTCATTTGGACTTGTCTTGGAAACTTTCAGCATTGATCTGCCATCCAGTGAGGATGACAAGGACGCTGACAAAGCCTTGACCATGACTGTGTAAAGACACAACAAATTCTCCAAACATCCTTTTAGAACACTCTTAGAACTTCATAACATTATAGACTGACTCGTTTTATAAATCTAAAAAGCAAACAAACAGGAACATCAACACCGGCAGGTACACTGTAATCTCCCCATTTCATGCGGTTAGAGGAGGGGTGGACTTCAGCAGGGTGAATTGCACGGCTGGGGCCCGACGCCAATGACGGAGCAGAACGTAGACCTACTAGTACCGTACGGCCTGAGATTGTCAAGCTGGTCGCCGTACTGGTACCGGTACTTCCGTCCAGGGGTAAAAGCTTGGAGCCTATCCGACAACTTTTATCAGCTCTACTGGATTTCATGTCCCCCCTTTTACAACATTTGGGGCCCCCAAACAAAATCAGGAACCTCAACAGCAAATCCACAAACGTTTGCCGATTGGTTGAGGGACGATGTTGCAGTTGTCGATGTAAGAGAACAAGATTCATTGTTTGCTTTATTCTGCCGCACAAAACGGAACTTCATCGTGGCATCGACGTTTTGCGGAGACGTAGATCGGTGCCTCCTTCAGTGCTCCCATTCGAAGATTCCGACTACAGCTAGCTCTGGCCAGGGCATCCTCTACAACCTACGACGCGACTTCTCGTCTAGCTAGCTACTACTACTCCCTGAACCAAGCACGATGAGGGCGTTCCCAAGACCGAATCACCATGGCAGTCTCTTGGTGATGACTATGACATGTTGCGTCTTGTTTGTTCTCTTTGGGGAAGCCGTCTTTGCCTTTCCAGCAGCAGAAAGGGCACATCGGATTCCATGCAAGTCCATATCTCCTTCTTCCGTCCAGAGACGGCACCGATGCTCTGCCTCGTCTGGTAGACGTCCTTACTACTTTACTACGATGACAGGACTGAACCTGTCGGGTGGGGTCCCTCCTACTCGCAGCAATAATGACGGAGGAGACAAGGATGGCAATAAACGAAACCGAAATGAGAAACGGCGGTTTGGACGCAAAGAAGGACGGAGGCATGCTTCGAGATCCTCGACGGCCGGTCTAGGCTTTGGAGGGGTGGTTCGACGTGGCGGTAACTCAACAACAACCAGTAGTAGCGCCGCTGCAGTGATGGACCCGCCAGAAAAGGCTCGCCAGAAAGTCTACGAAGAGCAATTTCAAGAAATGACAAAGAGAATGGCCCAGTTGGAGGGGATTGTGGCAAAACAAAGTGTAGAGATTCGGAGACTCAAAGAAGACTATAGTAGTCTCCAAGAAGCCGTACATGCCTTTCAACAAGTCATAGAGCTGCTAAAAGCCGCTGGGCTGCAAACGGATGAGTTGCCGTCGACTGATGAAGACACCACGAGAAGGGGTTTGCTGGGAGTTAGAGACGACAACAATCATGATGTCATGGAGGATGACTTCTCGGAAGATGATGACGACGATATGGACGACAACAATGACTACGATGAAGCAATTACCTATGAATATTTTGATGATACAGAAATATTTGGAGAGGCTCCTTCCTCTGTGACAGATGCCGCTGATCATGCTGGTGCGGCCATCTTGGCCGGATTGCTGGGTGGCAAGCAGAGAATGCTCATTGATGTGCGAGATTCGGAATTGAGCCGAGATGCTGACACTCTGGTACAATTCATTGAACTTGCCATTTTGCCGGTTGCAGCAGGGCTCGAAGGGCTTACTAGCACACGAAACCGAGTCAAGCTTGTCTTCCCGACAGTGTCGCAATTGCTGCAATACCGCAAGACAATGGCCCTGGCAGCTCCTGAAGTGGTGGCTTTGAGTACCCTAGGATTTGACCCTGTGGAAGAACGGGACAACTTGGTTGTGATTGTAGCTCCACAGCCGGATGACGAAGAGGGTTTGCAAGCCATGAACGATTTGCTCGATCCGCCCAATTGGAAGCAAGATCAACGAATCACACAACCTCTTGTAGTCCTGAATCATCACATGGTTCCAGTGTCGGGACCAGCCGCCAGATTTGATGTCATGTACCACCTACGGCTGCTGTCCGTTCAATACATGTCGGGGGGTCGTGCGGATGCCTTCTTTGAATCATATACGGATGGAGATTCCGACGTTGACCAATCATCCAATGAAAAGGAAAAGCCCGACGATGCTATACTGGAAGAGGCTATGAGGCATGCTCATGAAGCGGGCATGAGTCATGGTGTGACACGAGCCATGGTGATTCGGGCGTATCCCAAGTAAGTGCTGACGTTGTTAGTTTGCCACGGGACGTTTACAGAGTCCAGCATTGATCGAAAGCCTGACACTTCATTTTTCTCAACCTTGAACAGACCATGGCATGTTTTTGTAGATATATCTCCAAGCACAGATGCTGATTTTGTAGTAGCCGCCACATTTGACGATGAACCCACAACAGAGGAGGTGAATCAGTCAATTGTTGAATGCATCGAAGGGAGTGAACGTGAAGATGAAATTGTTGCACAACAAATGCATCAAGCTCTCGACATGCAAAATGAGAAGCTTGACATGGACATGAAAGGTGATGGCTCCTCCGATGACAAGGACGACGACGATGATGAAGAGGATGAGTGGTACAACCTTTGGACGGAGGATAGTATATAGGATTTAGCTCACAGAAGCCATCGCAACGATGCTCGATGGCGCAACGGCCTCTTCCTCGAGACGCATTGATGGCAAAGGACTTCGACGTTGTGTGCCTTGTGTTATGTGGGTCTTGAGGCAACCCACTTGGGCACAGAGCGTCGTCCCCCTTTTGGGCATCGGCAAAGCCTCCGTCTTTGTCGGGTGTCAACAAGCAACGCCATATGCCTCTGCACTCGCGGCCTGCTATAATATGGCAGCTGCAGTCGTCTCTTCTCAGTTTTGGCAGCTTCCTGAGGAAACAGTACACGAAACAATGTGCAGGTTATGCTGATATTGAAGAGACGCTTACCATTTCTTAATATAATTTTCGAAGGGCAGATGATGACCTTTGTGCATAAGGCTCTTCATTTTTTGAGTCGAAGCTGTAGTGTTCCACGCGAGGAGGAGCGCCGAGCCACTGATCTTCTCCAATCCTGGGAAGACCAACCAGCGAAGAGAGGCATTGTTTGGATAGATTGGCACGGGGCCGGTTCCACGCACAAATTATAACACTGTACCTGGTACAACGCTGGGTGAGACAGGGAGGCTGAAGCCCACCCTTGTAGCAATATCGCTCCTTCTTTCTTCTTGGCTGCTGCCGTGCCACCGCGCCTGGGAGAGGTTTATCCTTCTTCATCCTGTCCAAGTAGAAGACACACAACGAATGATTCGACCATGTCGCGACGATGAAAGCTACGTTCGCTCGACGAGGGAGCGGCACTACAGCCGAAGCACTCAGTTTCCAACACAAACAAGGTTGCATCCCCCCCGCCCACCCTTGCTGGCACGCAGTCGGCAAACTTTGCCGTCCGTCCCTCTGTCTTATCTACGAGACTATCCATACCGGTCCTATCCATGTAACAGAAAGTTCAGTTTCTATAACTCTTCGCTAGCTAGCTAGCTAGTTGCTCATTTGTTGTTGTTTAGTGGAAGAACGAACGGCCCTTCCTCGAATGGACGAGGTTCGGCGCCAGAGACGACGCGGCAAATGACGTACCCTGCGGGAGTTGTATCCGGATCGAACGGTATCATCCAACATGGTGTGCACCAGGTTGCCATCCAGAAAACTCGTGACAATGGGTGCCCGGCCAATGACTGTGTCCAGCATTTCTGCGACTCGCGCGGCACTCTTCCACCGACAGCTCTTTCCGTGAACAAAGATGATGGCCATTCCCACTTGGATGTTTGTGTTTTTTGCTAATGGAGATCCTTCCATGATTTTTGATATTGTCACGTAGCCGCAGTCCTGTCGAGGGCTTGTCAACTCGAGTCCAAATCGCTCGCAGACGACCGTTCTGGGTTGTCCTCGCGTTGCTGTCGTGGTCACGGTTGTCATTGATGGTGTGGTGGTGAGTGATGTTCTGATGCTTGTCTCTGGGTCTTCCTTGACAATTCTAATGCTTGGTGTACATGTGGATAGAGAAGTGGTTTCACAGTTCATGTAATTGTTTTCTTGGTATACATGGGGGTTGAAAGAAAGCATGGGATTCATTCTTGTGGCTGTTGTGGTTGCTTGCTTTGTTGAGATCTGATTTTGTGAGCTTCGTTTCGTTCGTTTTCGGTTGCCTCGAGCGAGCTCCTTGCTTGGGAAGGTGAAACATGCTTCCTCGGATTGAAATTCAATCATGCTTTCTTTCGCAACAAACAAATTAGAACACTAACCCTCTTTTCTTCTTCTGGGTTCTTCCGCTTTCTTGGGAAACCGAAGCATCAAGGCAGGCGGAAGCGTTGCTCCGTTGCTCCCTTTCAACAGTCACACTCTGTTGTTGATCATTTCCCACTTAGTTTGTGGAGACGTGCTCTTGACGAAGAGAGAGGAGCAGGGGCCACAAAAGCATCTCGTTACTGTACCAAGAAGGACAGCATCATCATCATCATCATGAACGGCCAGGAAACAACAACCACCTCTCCATTTCCCAGTCCAGGCGAAGAGTCCAAGTTTTCCTTGACGACAACTACGACTGGTGAATTGGTGGTTCGCCATGGTTCCTCGTTGAGTCTCATGTCTCAAGTGTGCGCGTTTCTGGCCAATCCAGTGCAAGACGATGCTTTCAACTACGTGGATCCAACGGCCGATCATCACAAATGGGCTCGTCGTGGAATGCAACTCTACTATGCCGCCGTGGTGGATTCTGCGGATCCGACGAACATTTTGTGCGCCCTGAGAGCTGCCACGCAAGGAATCATGGTGGACGCCACGACGGACGCCAAGAAACGCCAACGGAGTCAACGCCAACGCTTTCTGATTGACTATGTGTACACGGCACCCACCAGTCGCGACAAGGGCATTGCGGGATTACTGGTGCGACAAGTATTGGAATTGGCACAGAATGGCACCACCTGCTACGTCTTGTCGACGGAAGACTCGTGTGTCTATTGGATGGAAAAACACAAATTCTTTCTCTGTCAAAGTCCGGGACTCAACAAATTGCTCAATCTATTTCCCGACACGCATTTGCTCAAGCGAAAACAACCTGACGACAA